ATTGAAAGCAGCAAAGTAAAGAAATGCAGAAATATCAACAAACCTCATTCAGCTGTTGCAGCGTATGGTAGATCTGTGAGCAAGCAGCTGCCAATCTTTGATATTGTCCCGAAACAGTTTCCACCTAAACACACAGCTAATATTTTCAAAGATTTTGAATCTAACATTGCTGCTCTATCATTCACCTCAGCCATGACTTTATCGGTCTCCGCAGCTTTCTTGGCTACTTCAGATGCTTCATTCTTCAGCTTTTCGAGAGTGCCAATAACTGAATTATCATCCAAAATCTTTCCTTTGCTTTCATTTAGCGCTGCCAATAGGGCTTTCTCCAGTTGTCTAAGGCGTACCGCAAACTCTCCCTAAAAAGTAGGCACCTAAGTTGATCTACAGAAAAAAAAAGTTCAAATACGAACTTGAAGTTTGAGTAGGTCACTTCTCTTCTTATCCACATCGGGCCTTTCGCTTCTGAGTACTTGGTTGAGACACTGACTTGCAAGACTTGAAGATGTTACAGTGAAGTTGACGAATGTCACACGAGAGCATACATCCGGGGTGAATTCCACCTAAAACGGGTATCTTAGTTGGTCAACTCTATCAATGTACAAATGAATCCTTTCAATCATACCGATGCATCTCTGGTGATGAGGAAGATTTGGAATGCTGGTGACAAGTCAATGTCCTGGTCTCCGATCGTAATCAGCACACGTCCGCCAGTGCGTTTGACCTCAAAGCAGATTACTTATTCCAAAACTTGATTTTATCGATATATTATAACCAATTACCTCTTTATTCAGCACAGGGTTAAGAATAGGATCGTAGCTTTCAACATCTTGCACAAGAAGGGAATTACCAAATCGGAGAGCAGATTCGAGGTTCTTCCTAGAAATAATTGTAGCAATGTTTCATTAACTAGTATTGTGTTAGTTCAAATAATTTAAGCAGCAAAGCAATTAGCAAACAGAAGAGGCAACACAGGAGTAGTATCAATTTTTAGTTACTATTAAATCTCTGAAACAATAAAGTGACAATTGCTGTCAACCTGCGATCTTAATTATCGCTAAACACCACGTTAATGTTAGAAACAGCTTTCGTGTAGGAGAACAAACCTGAACGAATCATCCAAGAAACTGGTCTTCTGTATATTCCTGCCAGCAAATTGCTTCAT